TGCGGCTTGAAAGTCGAAAACCCTTGGCGAAAATACAATGGCAGATAGAGTTCACAATTGATCGTTAATTGAAAAAACGGCAGAATTTTTGCTTGTGGCTCGGCTTAGCTAATCTGCTGAGCATTTGTATTGAGAAAAAGAACTGAACATCTTTGAACGTTGTAGTATCAGGTATTTTGAGCCTTCATATTCTTACCAATGATAAGGTGGCACTACTTTAACCATTTAACGATGATAGTAACTGAATGTAATAACCCTCTGCAGGCGTTGGCGGTTAGATGGTAGTTGGTAGCCCTCCCGGTACCGAAAACTCCCAGCTACCTGTCTTACGGGACCGGTGGTAATAGGGGCTATGCGGGTGGGGCAGATAAGTGGAGGCGTAAATGGCGCTTGTAGGGTATGTCTGGAATTGACGTTCCTGGCAAAGTGGAAGCCTAATTTAAATAAGGTGAAAAATGCAAGGAGGGTATAGAAATAAGCATGGATAATTAGTACGGTGTGCGGAATAAATGTATCCTTCCCCCAGATTGGAAAGAATAGCAAGTGAAGGCGAACAGTCAATAGGAAGAAGGCAGTGTGTCTTAAGGTCATTCCGCAGTATGTGCGATAGTACTCTAACCGACAGAATAGACATGAGAACACGAGAGTCAAGCAGCAGCACGCAGGACGGCATAACGCAAGCGGGGTAAGACTTCAATGCGAAAAATATGTTTAGGCGAAAGAGAAAATCTGCAAATAATAGTGTACTGTCACTGTGGCCACATCTAGGATTAAAACTATGGCAGTAGTTGTTTGCTACACGCGAGTGGTGTACTATACAATGTAAAGAGGAATTAGCACTCTGTATATGAAGTTACACTTTGTTCTGCTTGCAGAGCCCAGTCTCTTAGAAGGCGAAGGAAAGCAGGACCGCAAGTGGATAGGCCGACAGATTATTCGCGGATCCTGGAAATAATCCAGTCGTCCTACCTAGTGCAGTATCGCCAGCGGAAAGGACTACTGACCTGTAGGGTCTTATGTAGATGACGAAAGGTCATGCGCTTACAAGTACTGCAAAATCACACGGATGGTTATGCCTTCAGGTAACATCTGCGTACTGTGGAATGCAGCCTAGGATAGTACCTCTAAAATGAATCAGATACAGGTAACACAGGGCGCGCATGCAATTAGAAGCATAATGAGAAGCATGATGAATCATAATCCGCCTAGGATAAATCTTTCGCCCTTTACTAAAGATTTCCGTGTAGGGGTGAATACAGTGAGTCTATATAGACATTTTTGCAGCGCCTCGTTTTCGGGGCGGTTAAAGTGAAGAAGAAAGTCATCCTGACAGGGTTTCTGCGCGTGCACTCCCAGACATAACGTAATCACAGAGCTTGAAATCGAGCCAGTAAATACAATTGTAGAATAAGTGGGCAGGGCTACCAACTACAATCCTACCGCGTTGGCAAAAGGTATTGCATTGTCGTATTTTTACTCCGCAGACAATCTTAAAGCATCTTCACCACCATCACGCAATAACCACCGCGATGTCTATTTATACCTTTCTCTGGCACGTACAAAGTAATATCGCCAGGTTCTTTTCTACAAGCACAATTGCTCTCCCGATTAAGTAACCCCGACTATAAACCAAACCTTTGACGAAAAACTTTTTTTAAGACCAGACGACACCCTTCCTTCGAGTGCTGAATTTGGCAAAAGACATGATTTTCCATCAGATGAGTGCAGGAAAGGCTATTTTGATTGTGGTTTTCCAGTAAATGCATTTGAATTCAGATGGGCGTCAAAAATCGATAGATAAATGTGTGCCAATTAAGTAATCATTTTTCACCGAGTGCGATTTTCGCAGAGTTCACTCGTTTGGTTGTGCTTTACAGGCTCTCTCGAGTTCGAGTCCCAGGTGTTCCACACCTCGGGGTTGGGTATGACTGGCTGACGATGGCTAATAAGCCAGAAATGGCCATTCCGGTCTCTCTTGTCTTTACCGGTAATATCATTCTGCCTATATCATGCGCCGCTGTGCGGCTGCTGGTTGGGCTCCAGAGAGAGCCCGTAAGGCACAACGGGACGAGCGAGTTCCGCAGAAACGATCGGGAACACCCTTTAGCACTGTATATTCCCGATCCCGTGCTAACACTCAGTCCTACCTCTTGCACAACTATTCTACTTGCGCAAATAACAGGAGTCACTTTTTTCAGCCTAACAGTAGACGGAAGTGGAGAGGCTCCGTCTGAAAAGGCTCCGAAGACGGGAACAAACTGCAACATGTTTAAGTTCATGTAGTCTTGCGAACTTTTTGCCTAGATAATCAAAAGAAATGCAAAACCTCGTATACATAGACGACTGAATTGACATTCAGAGAGAAAGAGAGAGTCGGTTGCGGTTATGAGACATCCTTGCGCAAGTCGCAATAACTTTGTTCAGGCCCATATACCGTCAAATAGAATTCTTCATATGAGAGTCGTGCCTGTTTTCTCAAACACCACTGACGCTTCATGTTGGCTGTCAACTGTCCTATTCTTGGTGTTTTCCACTTTTTCCTCCAACCCCCCGTATTTTTGCGTCCCGGAAGTCTGCAGGTGCTGTGCAGACATCACGTTGCCCTACTAAAAGGCATCTACAACAAGCTCTCCTAATTCTTGGTTAAATCCTACGAAACTGGCCGAAGTTCTCTGTGTGTCCCTGTGGCACCTTTGTTTGTGAAATTCGATAACATACTAGCATTGGCATGCAGAACTTAAAGACGTCTGAAAACTAAGGCTGCTTGACTTAACATCCCACCGTCCCCCCCTCCCCTTACCTCACTCCTAAAGGCTACATCGGTCGCCAAATTAGCATTTCATGTTTCTCGGGGCGAATGCGGTGTCCAAGTTTCCATCTATACCGAGGATCCAGCTTTCTAGCACAAGATTTGCTCAGATAGATCGTGGGAAAATGAGAGAGAGAGAGAGAGAGAGAGAACGGAGGCATGTGGAAACCGGCTCAAAACGTGATCGGCACAAGCAACACACTGAGCACTCAGTAGGCTTCTCGGATTGCAAGTGTTCCTCCAAAGACCGATGCAAGTGCTGCAAAAACCTATTTGCTGTGAACCTTTGACACAGTGAGCAAGAAAAAATGAGAAAAAAACACTTCAGCCTCTAACCCTTAACCCGTTCGTAGTGTTGAGCGAGGGTAAATGCGGCGATCGCCATCCAGGACGGGGTCTGAGGCGGTCATCATGCACCTTCTCAAGTGCTCCTCATCGACGGTCCTCTTCTAATGATCACCGGCGACGCTTGTACATCTTTAATCACAGATAATTTTCTTCCGTACGAAACGCTCTTGAGTAGGGGTTAAGCAGTGTGATCAATAAATTCGTCCTTTCCGACAGAAGGGCGTTCGTCGTGCGATGTGGGTGCGCATGTGAGTGGAGAATCAGCTCGCAATTCGCAAAATAAATCGCAACCCGTGACCTGGTTGTTTTTGCGTACAAGGCGCTGAGGGCCTCCTCCAACTCTCGTGCACTTTTTAAAAAGTGCGAGAGATGCTCAGGCTAAAACTCTCGGCTTAGTAAGTAGTGTGCATGAGGTCGTATCTGTTTCCTTTTAGAGGGCATCTTCTAAACGACCTCAAACGCCTGACGCGCTTATCACTTCAAGGCCGCACCAAATGGCCAGACAGTGTGTGCATGCGTCCGCTGATACCGTACAGGTTTTAAAAAAACCACGAACAACCTGCCTGATATGCGTGCTACCCGGCACACGAACAAGCCGTGCAGAGTGCTTCCCCGACTCCCTTTGGTAGCTAATCTACTCCAAAGGAGACCCCCCCCCCCTGCGGAGCCCCCGAAAGGCAGCTCTGAGGCTGTGCGAGCGCCCCGTTAATGTGTGCTGGGCGGGGGGGGGGGGAGAGGAGAGGAGGGAGCCTCCACACGCGCTGCGCGTGCCTGTCTGTCACCATTTCGCCGCCCTCGCGTTTGTACACGTGCCGCTGAGAGAAGAACAGACAAGCATGCAGACACAGACACATTTGCGAATGCGTGCCCTACGCGGTACACGTGCGCGCGTGCGTGTGTCTGTGCGTGCACTGCGCTGCTCAGTATGCTGATTGGTTCCTTTAAGGGCCAATAGATAAACGGGCCTATGCCCATCTATCGCGCATCCCGCGTGAACTTACCAAGCGCTGCTGAACTCTTCTCCTCCTCCTCCTCCTCCTGCGCCACTGCCACGGTCGCCGCCTAAATCTCGCCCGATATATCTGTTTGTGCGTGTGTGGGTGTGTGTGTGTGTGTGGATTGACGTTGTGACAGTGTGCGCGTAGGCACACACATTTTCACGCATGTATATATACCACATTTATGGCCTGGCCACGCTTCAAAAAATTAATTTCTGAAAACTCATCCTCCGTTCGCGCGACTTCTCACCTTTCGTCGCTGTGCAAGGACGCATTCACGGCTCGTCAGGGTTCCTGCTCCTCCAGACTGTGCTAGTACGCCTCTGTGCTCTTCAACTTGGCCAAGGACCAGTCTCTAAACAGCTTTTTCTAGTCGGACTCCTTTTCCACTTGTGCTCGCTCGACGAGTGCTGTCGTGTGTGTCTGCGTGTGTGTGCTGTCATATGTGTTAGCGTGTAGACGTGCGCACGTTCAACTGAGGGCGCAGTTTTTTGTGCTAACCATCACCGACGCTGTCACAACCGTAGCTACCCACCAACGCCTATGGGGTGAATGTATGCAAGTTCTCAGCGGTCTGCATGCACTTGGGATCAGTTCATATCAGCGTCCGTTTTTCCTCTCACACACGCGCACGCCTTCTTCTGTCACTCGCTCCTCGTGCACTCTCGGCCTCTTGCACTCTTCCTGGCTACTGCGTCATGCCTTCCCGCTCCCATCAGTTTTTTTGAGAGCGTGTTCATCCCAGGAGGTGATATCAGCAGCGGAGGCGTCAAAGACCGATAAATCCGTCACAGGCCTCCTCAAAAACGACGACAGCATCAACCAGGAGACTGGACTTCAGAGAGATGGATGTGACAGGAACCGATCCGCGCACCAGGGCGGGTCTCTTCCTTTGGCCCTGGGCGGCCACAGGCTACTCTAACATGTCGACTAATGTGGCAAACGGTGTAGCCTCCACGACCGCTCAGTCCGTACCCAACGCTCCTGCCGCCTCGCTGGGTCTGCCCCATGTTCCCCAGATGACTGCTCCTGGAATGTTCGGTGCTGCCGCCGGACCTGGCAATTCCCAACCGACGGACGATGCCTTCGAGTCATTCTACTCGCGTCTCTCCTACTCCACTGGTGTCCACAGCTCCCATATGTCCTCCCTCCAACAGCAGATGCAGCAGCGCGAGCAGCGCACCTGCGAAGCACCAAATTCGGATATGCAGGGTACTCGGGTCTCGATGATCCAGGGTCAACAGTCTCTCCAGCAACAGCACCGTCAGCAGCAGCAACAAACGTCCGGATCACTCAGTGGACTGCATCGGGGAGAGCAGCAACAACAGCAAGGTCCGTTTGCTGATCAGAGGTTGATGAACGGCATGATGCATCGACCAAGTCAACAGCAAGCAGCAGCCGCAATAGCAGCCATCGCATCTGCCGCAGCGTCTCGAAACAGCGCCGCTGCCGCAGCTGTTGCAGCATCGGCACCAACCGCTAACTCAGCCAGTTCGTCGCCCTTAAATAGCGGCGCGTTTCACAACCCTCCTCTGTCCCCTCAAGGCCCCCCAATATCTCTGCATCAACAGCAACATTCCCATCTGGGGCATCCCCTGCAACAACAGCAGCAGCAGCAGCAACAGCGTCCCTATTCCAGCACCGGAAGCCTTCACAACGTTTCCACAACCGTGCCTTCCTCACCACTGGACGGTCGTATGTCCTCCAGCGCCTCACCATCCGTGAGTTCAGCGTCCGCAGCCGGTAATTACTGTCTCAAACGACATCCACCCAATGACTTCAACAGCGCGACTGCGATGGCACTTGCAGTTGCAGTCGCTGCCGGAGATCGCCATGCCCAAATGCAGCAACAGCAGCAGGAGCTGGGCGGAGGAGTTGTGGGTAGTCGGTCGCCGCCGGACCAGTTGCATCATGCCCTCGGTGGACACATTGCCTCGACTGCGGACGTCTTCTCAGCAGCGACAGGACCTGGTCAGACGCCCGCCCAATACTTATTTCCACCCTCCAGTCCCATGAAGTCCTTTTATCGAAGACCCTCGGAGGCAGCGGCTATGGCTGCAGCGATGGCCGCGCAAGCTGCCCGCGACGCCTCTGGTGGCATGAATGTCCACGGTGGCGGCGGTGGTGTCGGCGGCGGCGGCGGCGGAGACCGGTCCATGTCAATGGCCGCCCACCAGCGACTACTGGGTGGCCACGGGGGCTTCCTACTCAGTAACATGGGCGCTGCAGCAGCTGCTGCGGCCGCGGTGTCCTCCTCAGCACACAGTCCGCTAGACAGGGTACCCGACTTTCTGTCGGACATGCGGCTTGGCCAGGAGACGCCGGTATCGGGATCGGGCGGACCGTTGCAGCAGGGCGGACCAGGCAGCAATCAGTCGATTGGACAGTCGCACAGCGGCGGCCTGGGCGGATTGGGCTCGGAAACAGCTTTGGACACCCTACCTAGCCTCTACGGCCACGCGGCCAAAGGATACAAATGCAAGATCTGCCAGCATGTGAGTAGTAGTGGTACAAAAATTATTCCATTTAACCGTAAATGTATTGACCTCCGTTCTGAAAGCTAGGTGAGCGAAGACACTCTTATGGGAGGTCATTTATATCGAGTTTTCGCAGTTTATAACTCCGAAAGGTGTCAGTTAGGCAAGTGTCGAGTTAGGAGGGTACATTGCCTCGATATTTGTTGCTGTAATTTTTTATGCAGCATATGGCGCCGATAAAGTGATGCCTTCTGACAGAAGAAGGGAACAAAACGACAATGAGAAGTCGTGGGAGGGAATGAGGGTTGCTGGTGCCCTGCGAAATCTTCCTTGGTCTCCGACCAACCTAAAATCATCTGAAAAGAGACTTGTTAACAAGTATGTTCCCTTGTTTATTAGAGCAGTACTGCTGTATGAAGGCGCAGGCCTCGATAGACTGTGAAGTACTATACAATCAGTCCTTGGAGTCTGATGCGATGCGAAGAGGGTTTTGTACTTTCTTATGGATGTTGGTGAGCCTTCTGGACCTCCTAAGAGAGAAGGCTTGCCGGAACTGACCTAGGAAATCGTCTTTAAACTCGGCACCCGTTTTCGTTTTTGCGAGATTAACTGGAACTTAGCGCAAGACGCCGGAATCGGAGGGAAGGTTCGTATTCCAGTATTTTGCCGGTATATCTTACAAATTGTGTTGACGCCGCTTACCGTCCTGATCTTAGCCTACGTTCGAACACTTCGTGAATTGCTGGTGTTTACTGTAATATTTTGTTTTCAAACGGGTGGAATTAGGCTTACTTAATGCTCTCTTACCCTGATTCCGGTGAGATGATGATGAAATTAACTACTTAAGCAGCCTGCCTCGTGTCGAGAGTTTGTTCGTTTGTTTGTTTCCGAATAGTAAACCGTGTGTTGTCAAAGCATGCAGCTCACGTTTTTTTATTGGGTTTGTCACTTTTAGTCTCTTTTTTAATCTCTGCCACCTTGATTAGGGTTCCCTGATTCGAAGCGACTAACGGATCGGTGTGTGCGTCCATTCTTGCCCGATGGAATTTGAGACATGAGTAAGATTGGTTTCATGAAACCATTTAGTCGTCGCCTAGACTCCACATATTATGGACTATCTGTCTAGCATGAGCTGACGCGCTTAGGTTTCTGTTTGCAGATGGTGGAAAGAGTCTGAAACAACACCTGTCTTAGCCTTCCTTCCTCACTGTCAATAGCCCGCTATTGTTATCATCTCAGTCGATCTGCGACTCGTTAGCTAGCCGTTGTCAGAAGTGGGTATCGTTGGCTGACGACGGTTAGTAGACCAGAGACGGACGTACTAGTATCCCCTGTCTTTGTTTAAAATCTCCTTCTATGTTGGAAGGTGTGTCGACAAAAACAATGCATATTGGGAAGTCCGCTTCTGACTTGTTAACCGATGTAACCCAGTTCACACTGGCGGCCCACTTCACCCACGGATTTGGGCACAATTTTTGGTCAGATAAAGAAAAGGCGCATATGCATACTTGGACAAGTGTCAAATGTTTTTGCCACCCTGGCTCCTCAGTTGCCCTGACCTCAGATTAACTTGACTGAGCTGAGTTGTCGTTGACTTGCTTGATGAAGCGGCCGGGTGGTCAGTCGTCCCAGCCGGCGACACGTTAGCGATCATCTTCTGAGAAACCCTGTTATCAGTGCTCTTTTGGTTCCTTTCATTCTTCTCCCATTCACCGGGTTTTGCTGCTTAAAATCCTAGCAAAATAGTACGTTCATGTGTGTTTGTGTTGCGTTACCTGCACAAGTGCTCACAACACTATTACTCATTGCTTACCCTCGTAACTACTGTCCCCCCCCCGACAAGGCTTGGTTCACAGTAAAGACCAGATAGGGGGCGGAAATGGGAACCGTCATCCCGTAATGACTGCATTCCCAGGTGCCCTTAAGGGGTTCTGGGCAGGACGCGTACTTACTCAGACTTGTCTTCAAGCTGGTTTGCTTGCCTCCTCCTCCTCCTCCTCCTCCTCCTCCTCCTCCTCCTCCTTCTCCTCATCCTCTTCTTCGATCCCCTCTCCCTCCACTGCCCCTTCTGATTCCCCCCGCCTATATCCCTCCACTTTTCCCTCCTGAAGGCGCGTTCTAGAAGTTCTGTCCTCTTTCTCTCTCTCTTTCTTGCTCTTCTCTCTCCCTCTTTGCATTTGCCTCCACCTTGCGCGCGCATTCAATCAATTTTAATAAGTTAATTAACTAGGGCGGAAAGGGGATTTTTTTGCCGCTGCGGCGGTCAAAATAATCCCCAATCAGTAGGCCGATCGGTTAGATGACCAGATGATGGCCAGGACGGGAGTTAGTGGTAATGGCCGGCCAGAGACAATGGCGCGCGTCCGTCCGCACTGACACATGCACACACACACTAAAATCACTTAGCTCAAAACCGGACTAGACCCTGAGAAAATGTGTCATCGTCTGGTTCCCTAGATGCGAGACCTCCGTACTTTCAGCAGGGAAGACGAAGAGGCTTATTTTCGGGCAGGTATCACAGCCTGTGGCACATACGAAGCACCCTTCCCTGGTTCCAGATGTCGGGGAACCCGGCACGGTATTTTGACTGCGTTCCTTATTAAAAGTCGGAACTCCGCATTTTCTAATTGAAGGCATTACGTTTTCTGGGAGCAAAATAAAGTTGCGGCCTTATAAAGATGTACAGTCCATTATGGTTGGGTATAAATCTTAAAAAGGAGGCCTTACGAAGAGGATGGCGGAAGCCAAATTGGATGTAGCACGATGTCAAGATATCTGTCCGTCCTTTTTAGCCCTTTTTTAAAATTAAACACTTTCGCATTCGTGTATCTCACACGTGAATTAACTTATACTCGAAAATTCTTTGTTCGAAGAGTGCAAATTTGTCATCGGGGAATGATGCCGGCGAATGCAGGCTTCTACATTGTTGATTGGTCGTCATAAGCCGAGCATTATTAAACCCCAGACCGTGGAAGTATACCATTCGAACCAGGGTCTGATGCCATCGAACATTTTACTTCGAACGATTCAACATTTGAGATGTCCCCACCCTCGCCGTGTCGATTGCGATCCAGTAGCTCACATACCAGGGGATTTGGATATAAAAAGTGCTCGATCACTAACTGACTGATGTTCAACTGGCCGCTTCCCGACTGTGGTTGAGATGTCAGTGGCTAATAGCAATAAATGAGCCACAAACAGCCGATACAGTCTCCAGAGTTTTCGTAGCCAAGACTTCCTGATCATCCGTCGTTATGCGACCGTCTGTGAGGGTTTCAGCCCGTATTTTCAAGGCCACACGGAAATCTGCAATCTGGGCAGATCTTGTGCATCCATAAGTCGTTACTTTTAATCCCCATCAAATCTCGAAAGCAGAACATGCGTCAGAGGAAATTCAGGGGGTTTTGTGCTTTTGCGGGAGCAAGTTTTACAATGGCTTCCGGAGGAGGAGGCCTAAATAACTAGAAATTGCAATTTTCAAGATGGGGGCGTTTTCCAGGTCGGTTCTCCCTCATATGAGACGTAGATCTAACGCTGTATTCCCATGCGTTCCCACCTTCTGGTGAGAGTTTCTTTTTTGAAGTCCAGTAAGACACGGGAATGGGATCTCGTCCTCACAATAGTAGAGTTAGCCATGTTCTGAATCACACGAAGGGAGCCTGTCCCCGTATTATAATCTTAATCGTAACCCAAATCTTAACTGCAACCCTCCCCTAACCGTAATCCTGATCAGAGTCTCACTGGAATTTAACTCAAGATCACTTGTAGTACGGACGGGGGTCCCTTATACCGTTCCGATGTGAATTTCTATGCCTTCAAAAGCAAGTAGTGAAAATATTAAATTATTACTTTGCACGTTATCAGGCTACTCACTGTAAGAATACTTTGTGGGCGGGATCTACAGTAGCAGAACGACTCGTGTATATTCAGAAGAACGCCACAAACATTCCATCTTCCTTAATAGGGCCAGTATACGGGCAGTGTGGCCGTGATTAATGTTCAAAAGATGAAAATGCGATCATTGGAAAAAGAAATTTATTGACCTAATTAGTGTCTTGTTTGAGACGCCTGATGGTAAGAAGGCAGTATGATCCGCATGCTTACAACGTCGACCGTGAAAGCCCTAGGACCTAGTATTTATCTGCTTACACCTTTACAGTTACAGTAGTAGGCGTTATTTTTTGCAGCTTTTCTCAGATTAGGACGATAAAATTCGGTGGATCTCATAATAGTTGCTTCCCAATGAACGGGGAGCATAGAAAATTGGTCAACCGGTATAAGGTGACTACGGCCGACAGTCGGTGCACCACTGACTCTTCTTGGCGGGGCACCAACCAGCTTGTTGATTGTTGCTGTCTGGATGATCTGGGTCGGGAGTTCGCAGTGTTTAATCGTGCTCCCCAGACAATTCCACAACTACTCAATGAGATCAAAGTCCAGGGATTGGCAGGGTCAATGCTGACCCCAGGTATTTGGTTATGGAGGCTTCTCTAAGTTTTTACGCCATCAGCCTGTATGAAAGCAGCCTATAATTCCATACGTGTCCGCTATCCCTTTTCCATCAGTTTGCGTAACTCTGAGCGAAGTTTTGAAAGTACTGAATTATAGTACACTTTACTTGCAGTCAGACCGTATACTACAGCCAATAATTTGTATTTTGGGGACGCGGAGGTTCCAAAGCAGCAGAATGGCGTTCGAGTCTTTCGTCTTCTTCTGATCGGCCAGTACAGTACTTCTGTCTTGTTATGGTAGAAAGGCAGTGTAACCCACGCACTTACTTTGTAAGACCCTTGTTTTTAATTATTTGCGGTTTCTACTGTAACCGTATTAGACACTGTTACTATACTTTTTCACAGAGTAAATAACGGTAATTAGTTTGGTCCTGTAAAATGCCTCCCTGTTTAACGCACAGTCTTGGAGGAATATAAAAGTTGCTTGTCAAGTATGAGGCAACTGCGGCCGGCGGTTAGCCTAGTACTAACTCTTCGTGATGCCGACTGTTCATGGGGACAGTTCTTGCATTGCAGTTGAGAAAGCCGGGACTTCACGTTGTTAAACTCTGCCTCCTCGGCGTGATCCCGCAATCATTCAATGAGATTAAAGTTCAGTAGTCAGCAAAGTCAATGTCAGCATCAATCCTTTGAGTAGAGTGACCTTATGGTTGTGGATCTTATCAACCTGAATGATGACAGCCTATAATTCTGCCCGTCTCCGTCGAGCTCATCTCTGCGCTTCTTCTTTAGCATTCTTATTGAGCAGGAATAACAGTA